GAAATAAAAGTAATTCTACCCACACTTTCCCAAAAATATTAAGGAGGAGGAATTGCTTCTCAACTTATCTGTGAAGTAACATTCACTACGATTCCTCAAAATCAAAGATAATTGGAAAACCAAAAGACCAATATCCTTCAGGAACCCAGAGGCAAAACTTGTAAATGAGGGAAGAAGGGCTGGGGCAGAGGGGAGAATTACCTGGGCAACAAGAAAACTCTGGGGGTGAACGCATGTTTATGACCTTGATGGTGGGAACAGTTTCACAGGAACAGCTGTGTTACAACTTACCAAGCGCTCTTAAAGTAGTGCATCTTTTCAAATGGCTATTCTATCTGATAAAGCTGGGGTTTTTCTTAAGTGAAAATTCATCTGGATAAAGGTCATATAAGGGAACAGTCACTGGTTAAGCTTCTGCTTCTGGCCTAATTCTGAAACAAAGGAGGGGAGGATCCTTCAGCTCCTCCTAAGCCTTCTGAGCTCTGCTCACATAATAGCCTGTGACCACGGAGCAGGCACTGAGAGAGGGGGCTAGCCTTCCTGGAATCCCCTGCCCAGCCCTGAGCTCCTCCGTGGGGCAGCTCATCTAGACAGGAACAGGACAGGAGCCCTATCTTGACAGAGCTGGGGATCCAGGGTGCAACCAGATCAGGAACAAACCTCCCTCCCAGAAGAGGTCTGAAGTTAATCCTGCCTGAGTGAATAATGCCCCAGGAAGACACCCGGGCCTGCTGTCTCCACTCAGGACTCGGGGTTCCCTGTCAGTGTTTCCTAATCTCTGCCCCCAGGAAGGCTGATTAATCAAGGCATAGACAAAAAGTCTCAGTGTTTCCTAATCTCTGTCCTCAGGAGGGCTGATTAATCAAGGGATAGACAACAAAGTGATAGGACAGCGGTTCTCAACCTGTGGGTCTCACAACCCACAGGAACTGTATGAAAGGGCCAAGGCATTAGGACGGTTAGAACCATAAAGAAACTAATTAACAAAGTAACAGCAATAAGGAATCTAAGCTAGGAAAAGAGGAGCGCCAGATTTAACCCATGAAACAACTAACACTGTTAGTTGATTTTTTTGCCAGTTTCGACTTAAGTCACGTGAGAATCATTCTGTTGAGAATCTCTTAGGCTTTAGCTATTTTATCTGTGGACTTGTAGATCTTAAGAGAATCAAGTGACTAGGTGGAAAATACAACTATTTTTTAAAATAAATTTCAAGACAAAGAAAATTTAAATCACTGGAATTATCAAGTTAAAAGATTCTAAACCATTGATGATATTATTTTAAGCACCATGAAAGCACCATCTCACATATCTGCACTAAACTGTCTGCAGGCAGTGATAGCAGTGTCTCAACAATCCAGTCTTCACCCTGGGGAGCTACTAGTCCACAGAGGTCTCCTGACAGAGGAATAGAGCCCTGGTATCCCTGTCAATGTCCACAGGGGTCAGGGGAGCAGGAAAAAGGCTACAGAGCAGAGCCCCGGCCAGGCCCCAGCAGACAGGACTGGTCCCAGGCAGGACCACGTGTAAGGAAGAGCTTGTCTGCTGATTTCACAAGGGAAGTCAGTAAGAAAATTAAAGCTAGTACTGGGGAACCTCCAAGGAAGATGACAGACCTTGGAGGTAGCTGTGATTCTGGGGACAAGGGAGTCAGTTCAATGGCCTAAAGACTCACTTCTCTACCTCCAGGTCATGACTGCCAGAAGGGCCAGTGGGGGCCACAGGTAGGTGGAGACTCACGAAGTGGCAACACAGGCCCTTCCACCCATCTGGACACAGGCTGGAAGCTGGGAGTCCACTCTCCAAGGGAGCAGTGTCCAGGGTGCTCCTGACCCCTCCATCCCCTGCAGCCCTGTGTGCACTTGGACCGTCATCCTTGTCACTCCACTGGAAGGCCCCTCACTCTCTAGGGCAGTGGTTCTCAGCCTATGGGGTCGAGACCCCTTTATAACAATGAAAATACATAGCGGCATTAGGAAGGTTGAGAACCACTGCTTTAGGGGCTCCACTGGGCTGAGAATTCCATGAAGGAGGAACTGAGCTTTTTTAAAGTGGGTAATCCAAACAAGGTATGGGCCCAAACACCCAACAGGCGATAAGAAAACAGGTGAATGTGAGAACAGGTGTCTGGCAGATTAGACCATGTGGTGGGAGCAGGCTCCTGCTTGGAGCCTCCTGCAATTTCCTGAGGTCCACACCTCCCTGAGGTCACACCTCCCTGAGGTCAGACCCCTCTGGGTCAGGGCCTCCATCAGGCTAACTGCACTGTGGGCCAGCATGTGGCCAATGCTGCATGACCTCAGCAGAGAGGGGGGCTGCAGAGAAAGCCTGGGGGGGGGGGTTGTGAAGAGCAGCAGTCCCACACGCTGGCCAGCATCCCAGCACTGACAGGACAGCAGCGATGTGACCTCCCCAAAAAGTCCAGGGTTGAGAGGAGAGAAGGCAGGCCAGAGAGATGCATCTTATGGTTGACACCAGCTTTAAACGTCCTGTGCCAAATTCCCACTGCAGTGTGGATGTAGCGTAATACTGTATTCAAAAGGGAAGCATTTCTACAAAACCTTCCAAGCTGAACTGAGCCACAACTGCTGGCTGTGTCCTGCAGGCGCTCCGACCTGGATGCCACTGGGCCCCTGTGCTACTGGCCAGCTCTCCAGGATCAAAAGGTGCACTCAGCCCGTTATTTTCTAAGGCCCCGAACAACAAATCCAAGTGCCCAACAGCAGGCCAGTTAAACACACCCCTGAGGCACTGGGGCAGGGTTTGTTCAAGTGACTCAGATTTAATCTTCTCTGTGGGACGCAGGCTCCAAGGCACAGGGAGGATATAATGGCCAGGTGGCTGTACTAACTTCAGGACCAGGTTCTTCATTCTATCTTTTCTGTTCCCAATTTTTACCACATAATAACTAAAAATATAAAATAATAGTATATACATGGGGGCAGAAACCTGGCAGAGACTGGAAGTGAACACCGAGCGTTTTTGCATGTGTGGAGTTATCAAGCAACTCCCCAGTGGGGCGCCCAGAGACACCCCAACACGAGCCCCCACAGGACCAGTCTGCCCTCCTTCTACTCCCAGGTGAACCCCGCCAGCAGCTGTCTCCTCTTCCTCCCCCAAACCTGAGGCCCCAGCCCCAGCATCACCACCTATTTACCACCCTCTCATGTCCTCCCAGGGGATGAGTGACTTGCTGAATGTCACCCAGCTGGACCAACTCTGGGTACCAGCTCAACCCACTTGTCTGGGGCCTACAATCCAGCAGGAGAGAGCTGTGCCCCTCCCCCTTGTTACTAAGGCAGAGCTCCAGGCCAGCATGCTCCTGCAGGTGCTGTGTCGGCCCTGTCCACTCAGCCACTCAGCCGCGCTGACCAATTCTGTCAGGTTTCTGGGGAGCCCCACCCATACACAGCAGAGGAGGACCCCACTTGCGTTCTACAATGTTACTTTCGCAGTTAGCATTTGAAGAAAAGCACAGGACAAGTGTGTGACTTTGGCCAGATTTAAATAAAGCCTTCAGCGTCCAACTTTTCTCCATTGACCTGCTGAAAAATTAAAGTATCCCCTCCAGAGAAACCTCCCACTGCCCCATTTTCAAAGTCCCTGGCTTTGGGTGGGATGCCGGCTGACCACGCACGCGCCCTGGACCAGCACCCCCAAGGGCTGCAAACCCCCTTCCCCCAACCTGAAGGAAGAGCTTGCGAGTGTGGTGACCGCCAGGAGCGGTGGTCTGTCGGAGCAGAGGGCTTCAGAGCTAAAGCACCGCCCGCCTGCTTCCCGGCTAGTTCACTCAGGTTTTTACAACTTTTGCAGACCCTATCGTGGTGCCAAAAATCCTCGGCTCAGCCAGGAAAAGTGCAAACTATTTTTGGCATGCGGCGGGGCAGCTGCAGGACGGTGAAGTGTAGTTGGCGCCCGAAACGCAGGCTGTCTTTACAGATTCTGAAAAGTCCTGATTCAATTTGCCTCCGAATACACCGAGGCCTTCAGCGAACACTGGAGGCATTTCGGTCCAGCGGAGCCCGCGGCGCGACCGGACGGAGATTCCTTCTTTGGAGAAAGTGGCGCCAGAGGCCAGCGTAGTGCGAGATACAAAGTCGCAGCTTGAAAGCAAAGTATCCGGGAAGTTTAGCACATCCGCTGAGGCGGCAGCCCGGCTTAGAAACGAAAGAAAAGCAGCGCCTGGGGCAGGAGCCGGCTCCGTCTAGAGCCGGGAGGCCCCAGGACTCCCGGACCCGCACGGCGGCCCCTCCCAGGAACCTGGTCCCGGCTCGCTCTGGGCGCTGGGAAAGCCCTGGGGAACCCCGGGAACCCCGGCCCCCCCGGGGCTCGCGGGCTGTCGGCCCCCGGGGCGGATGCAGGGCACCTGGACGTAGAGCTCTGTGGCGGCGGATAATCAAGGATCCCCGAGGGAGGAGTCCCCTGCGCAGGGAGCACCTCGCTCCAGGGAGAGGGGAGCGTGCGCGGGGGCAGGGAGGCCGCGAGGAGGAGAAGGGGGAGGGAGGAGGAGCGGGGCAGGCGGACCGAATAGGACAGGGAGCGGGCCCGAGGTGGGGGCGCCGTGCTGGGGGAGGTAGAGGGCAGGGGCACCAAGCGGCGAGGGGGAGGCGCGGAGTCTGAAAGGGGGACCGGAGGGGAACGGGTCGAGTCGGGGGAGCAGCGAGAGACGAATGGGGTTTTCCCTGGCAGCTCCCAACAACTTCCCAGTCTGCGGGGGATTTCGAGTTCCGAACAAAGGCGGCTCCCGAGGCCGCGCGCTCAGGTCCGCCCCTCGGCGTCCGGGCCAGGGCGGACAAAGGCCCAGTGGGCCCCGCGACCGACCCCCGGCACCCCGATCGCCCCACGCCTCCTTAGCCGAGATCCCTCCTGAGCGTCGGCCCCCATCGGGGCCCCGGAATCCCCTACTCCCCGTGAGCCTGGTGGACCCCGGACCCCACAGGTCTCCAGACTCTCACTGCGCCTTGGGCCCCGCTCCGCTCGCGTCCCCTGGCCGCACTCACAGGATGGAGGTCTGCGGCGCCACGGCGGGCACGGTCTCCAGCAGCAGATGCATGCAGCGCACGGTGGTACGGAAGCAGAGGCAGCGGCTGGGACAGCCGGCGCCCGGCTTCTGGGCGACCACTGCCAAGGCTCCCCAGCAGCAGCAGAGCGTGAGCGCCAGCAGGCAGCGGCGCGCGAGGCCCGTGGGGCGTGCGGCCATGGCCGACGGCGCGGACGGACGCTCGGACCGACCGCAGAGGGCCCGGCGCGACCACGGCCGGCTCGGGACTGCGCCCGCCTGGCCGCGGCCCACGTCCCAGCTGTGCGCAGGGGGCGGGGGGCGCCAGCTGTGCACATGCGCGCGGCTCCTCCCTTCCCCCCTCTGAATCCCCGAGGGCGGGGCGGGGCGAGGACCCAGGGCCTTGGCGTCCCGTTGAGCCCCCATTTCCCCCTCGTGGCCCGCAAGCAAGCGCGGGGAGGGCGCGGCGGCAGGCCAGATCCCAACGCGGGCCGCCCCGGGTGTGAAAGAGAGGGCTAGGACCCGGGTTTGAGTCCCCGATAGTGCTTTAGGGACCTGGGGGGGAGGGGTAAGTTGAGTGACTCCACCCCTCCTGCCCGCGGTTTCTACGTGTGAGAAGTGGGGGTGGGGGGTGCCCTTGGCATGTTTATGACACTTTCAGAGTGGTACCGCGGTCGGGCACACTTCCAAGCGCACTCGCGTTTCTGCCGCCTTCTCCCTCTCGCTATACCTGCTCCGTGTAAAATCCTGTAACTTGGAAAACAGCCCCTCCTCCCCTCGGAGGGACCTGAGATGGGGACCCCAGGCGCCCCAGGCTCCGGGCCTGTGCACCCTCTGCTCTCTGCCTCCTGCCCGGCTCGGGCACTATTAGAGGACAGAAGATGGTTTGTGGAGATTCTCTGGCACGATTAGCTTCAAGGGGGGCTTAACAAAGCCTATTAGTGCCCTTCTGGGGTGGGTGGCTGAGAAGGAAGCCGGAGACCCACTCCAGTGGATGTGCATGGTGACAGTCCGCCGAAGCGATGGAAGGATTGTGTTCCAACGCCCTACATACATTGTCTCCGCTAATTCTCACAGGGATCCATTTTCTCCATTTTACAGATAACTAGACTGAGACTAAGTTGTTTGTCCAAAGTGACAGGGTTACTAAGTGCGGCTTTCAGAAAGCAGAACCCAGGCCTGGCCTGGGTCTGCTGTGATGGGCACACGACCATGTTTCTGCTGTTTCCATCTGGTCTTCTGACCTGGGATGTGTCTGGAGGCACCTGGAACAGGACTGGCATGGACAAGTTAACACACACTTTTTATCTTGCAGTTTTGGAAGGTTCAACATTTGGGACCAGCTTTGCCAGGCTGGGTCCCATTAGACTCTCAGGACATGGCAGGTATGTTTCTGGCTGGGCCAGCACCAGCTAAGGACTGAACTCTCCCTGCTGCTGGCAGGAGGCCTCTGGCTGTGCAGGTCTCTCTGTGGTCTGCACACAGTACATGGCCCCAGACTCCCAGAGTAAGTATTCCAAGGGAGAGAAAGGAAATGACCCAGGTCAGGTGGGCCACACAATGTCAGCTGTGCAGGCTGCTATCCACACACTCAAGTGATTCCAGCCTGTACTCTAGGAGAGGCAGTCACCTGGAGGGTGCATGACAGGAGACAGGACCTTTGGGGACCCCCCTCAGAGGCTGCCCACCACAGGAGACCTTGCTGGGTTTGATGGCAGAGTCTGTATAGAACCAGGGACACATATAAGAGCACGTCCCTAAGTTTTCTCTAACAGTGGGAGTCACAAACCATTGGTTGAGTGGTGGGGGTGGGGTGGGGGTGCTCAGCGCCCTAGTCAACTGCAGAGTTGTTCTGACACTGACCACTTGGACTTAGGGGAGACCCCACAGGGCATAGACAGACTCCAGCATCACAGACCTCATGTTAGCACCACTTGTGAGTTCAGGGGTCCAGGTCCCAGGATAGCCACACTCTGACCAACTGGTAACAGATTCAAAGGTTCCTGGACACCTTCAGACTTGGCAACTTATGAGAGCAACTCCCAGAGCAGAGGAAAGTGGTACAGTTATGATCACAGCTTTTTGTAAGGGACACCCTCCTGGACCCACCAAATGAAGCTCAGGAGGCCCCCACATGCAGAAGCGAGGGTTCCTGCCCTGTGGTCCAGGGCCTGCCACTGTCCTGGCACAACCATGTGTCCAGTGGGGCAGCTTTGCTGAGCTCTGGTGTCCAGGAATTTTACTAGGCCCTCCTTCCCTGAGATGACTCACTGACTCACTGGTTGGGGACTGGACCTTTTCTCCAGCTGACACCAGTGGCTCTGAGCCTTCATCCTATGGCTAGTTTTCCTGGGGACCCACCCTCCATCTGCATGTACTCATCAGAGTCCACTCACATGGGGCCAAGGACCCTTCAGGAGTCACAGGTGCTCTTGTCACCAGGGACGGTCTAAGGGATGGAGCAGCTCCAGCCAGGAAACCCAGGAAAAGACCAGTTCTTTCTCGTCCAGCTTAGGCCACCCAAGGGTGCTCACATCCATTTGAGTGGCATCCTGGCTGCCACATATGCTATTGAAGCAGACATCACATTCCTGTGGGAACTTGTGACCACCTTTCCAGTCACCTAGGGACACTGAGCACCCACCCTGGTGTCCCGCAGCAGGATCCAGGGCACCACACCCACTTCCAGATAGGTTATCATGTTGGAAACCCAAGAGGTTACTTTCCCTAAAATACGTAGCTTTTCCCTTGAGTTGCTCTCTGCTCTCCGCACCACTTCTGGTGACCACAGAGGGAGGCTGTTCTCACCCCACTGCTCCCACCCTGAAGTGCGGGTACAAAGCCAGTTCCTTTCTGCTCAGCCTTGTTTCTGACTCCCCTTGACCCTGAACCAGTGCTGGAAGAGACGCCCTCTCAGCCCTGCCTTCAGGCCTGCATGGGTTGTGTCCCACCTGCCACTTCTTTGAGCCCCAGTTCAGACGGGGTCTGGAGGCAGCCAGTCTTCACTGCAGCTGCTGTGTGCTCTTCATGCCTCCTGTCCCCAGCCACTGTTGCCTGACAATCTGACTCAGCCTTAGCCCCACCCCACTCAATTTGATGCCCTCCCCTCCCTGTGCCCCCTGCCTGCACTGATTCCCTGGTGCTGCACGCACTCTGCAAAGCCCTGAAGTGAGGTTTCCACTCCTGTCACACCACCGTGGCTGAGAGACCGGGGGAGGGACTGGCATGAAACGAAACCTGAACATGGGCGTCGCTGCCAATGCCCAGGTGACCCCGGCAGCTCGCAGGCAGCCTTGCAGCTCTGTGCTTCTCAGCACTAACCAGGGTTGGGTGATGCCTAAAACAGCCACACAGTACCTGAGCTGTTACAGTACCTACTGTAAGTCCATCTAGGAGTCATCAGAAAAATCACAGTCATCGGCTCCGCACCTGTGGCTCAAGTGGCTAAGGCGCCAGCCACATACACCTAAGGGGGAGGGTTCGAATCCAGCCCAGGCCCACCAAATAACAATGATGGCTGCAACCAAAAAATAGCCGGGCGCCTGTGGCCCCAGCTACTTGGGAGGCTGAGGCAGGAGACTCGCTTGAGCCCAGGAGTTGGAGGTTGCTGTGAGCTGTGATGCCACGGCACTCTATCCAAGGGGACAGCTTGAGGCTCTGTCTCAAAAAAAAAAAGACCACCCGAGTTTCATGATCTTTGGGATTCATGTGAAAAATTCCCACTTCCCTCTAACAGCCCCTTTCGAGTCCTACTGTCTGCTCCAGTCCTGTTTTTGCCCCAAACATGCATTCCTTTCCAGGCACAAGTTGTCCGAGCTGACAATCTTTTGTTGTCCTGTGAAATCACAGGAAGCAGAAAGGGAAAGGCCCAGGGCCCCTCTTCTGTGACTAGACCTCCAGTCTGGCCTATAGACTCAGTGTCATCTGTGCACAGACACCTGGTTTTCAGATCATCCTAACAGCCCAGAAGTGTTATTCTCCCCATTCTGCAGATCAGAAAACTGGGGCTTAGGGAGGTTTAAGTAACTAACTCAAGGACTTGTAGCCAGTAAGAGAAAGGGAGGGAGGGAGGAAGAGAATCATACTGACCAGACATTTGCAGTGAGGGGCCTGGTGCCGCCTCCACAGCGGCAGTTTGGGGATCGGGCAGGACTTTGCTAGGTGCTGCACTCATCTGGTTGCTGACCCTACCTGCTGCTAATGTGAATTCTCCCCTCACATCTCCAGTGGAACCTGGAGAGGCCTGCAGCTCTGCCTCTCCCGGGTGCAGCCCAGGGCTCAGGACTCGTTGATTAAGGGCTGACCCCTGCCCAGGTAGAACATGCGGGTAGCACATCCCCACTGCGGCGCTGAGGCTGCCCCATTGCTGATGCCTCCCCCTGCTCACTGCGCTCCTTGGACACCTGACCCTGGCGTGATGATGTCATCCGTCTGCTGTCTCCCTTACCAGGCCGAACACTCTTCCAGGATTTATGGGGAAAGAACAGGGTCAGGATCAAGACCCACCTGGGAGGCAGTCTCCTCACCTCTGTTTCCAATTCTGTGATCCTGGCAACTTTCTTCCTTCCTCTGGGCCTCAGTTTCCTCATCTGCAAACTCAGAAGAGTAGCTTGTACTGCCCTGTGGTTGTGAGGACAGGAGAAAGTGTGTGGGGCACCAGGACCTGGTCACCCGGGAAAGCGGGTGGAATGCGGTAGTCAGGGAGGCGCCAATATACCTCTTGCCTGGGAACCTGCTCAGGGTCTGGTGGGCCCTGGAGTTGGGAGGGCCAGGAGCCGTTCCCAGACGGTGAGTCAGCCCCGATCACAGGGCCTGCTGGGGCTATGCCAAGACCTCACTGCAGCCTGCTCCACCCTCAAAGGCTGGTGCCTACTGTGTGCTCAGCCCCTCCACTGCAGGCCCGGGGCCACGGGCTGTGGGGACGGAGCTCTAGCTCAAACTATAGGAATTCATCCTCCCACAGTCCTGGGGCCAGAAGCCCAAGGTTGAGCCATCAGCAAGGTCAGTTCTCGCTGGAGGCTCTGGGGTGCCTCTCCCTCGCTGCAGGCGGTGCAACCCTTGGCACCCCTAGTCTGGGAGCTGCTTCACCCTGTCACCCACCTTCCTGGCCACACAGACCATGTGGCTGAGGACATCATGAGAACTTTGTAATTTTAGCACAGGAACCTTGGGGGTAGCAATTCACTCCAGGGCACTAGAGTTGCAGGCAGACAAAACAGAGACAGTCTGGCAGCCTGGGGTCAGGCACCTGCTGTGGCC